TATATTAAAACTAATTGTATGCTTGTAAAATTACATATAATTGATATGATAAGTACATGCCTTGAAAATGTAAAGATAACATGACCAATTCCTTGAATGGCACATAATTTAAATCGACCATGACAAAAACCAATAAATCCAAAATTGATCTCTATGAAATTCATTTTAATGTTAATTGTGAGGAAGAGAAATATATTTCAAATTATATTTTTATTTCTAACCTGAACTTTTGAACTAAATTTGTCCAAATGCTCGATTAAAGTTGGCAAGACATTTAAGGACTCCGTCAAAAAATAATTTAAATAATTTGATTTGAAAACTTCGGCGATAGCAACAACTATTTTTTGACGAAAAATATCGGGAATTATATCTGAATTGAAATTTAGTGAGTCAAAATGAAAATTTGATGTAGACTCCGGATATAAAAGAGCGGATACTAGGACTTGAAATGCATTCTCATTACGAAATAGCGATTCTAAAAAAAAAAAATAATAATTTTTGTAAAATTTAATAATATAAAACATAAAAAGATTATAAATAACTTACCATCTTCCTTAGATTCTGGAGGTAATTTAAAGTCTAAAAAGAAAAAGTTAAAGAAATTTAATTAGATTAAATTTTAATCCAATAAAATTCGTTGAATTTAATATTACCGCTATGTTGATATGGTGATACATTTGATTCGATAGATTTCAAAGCATCCTTTCCGAAGAATACGAGATCCTCAGCCAGCGTTATTAACGTGTCCTAAAATTAATGGAAAAATGCTTTAACGATTTTTATATAATTCATTGAAATAAAAGATTGAATCATAAATTACCTTAGTGATCGTTTCATCAAATGGCGGTAAGATGAGTAGTTTGAAAAAGATTTCATATCCCTTACAATTATAAAATTCTTCCAAAAACATGGAGGTATTTTTATATGTACCCTATTTAAATTTGTGTAAACGGAAAAGTTAGTAAATAAACTTCATAATCGATCGCTATCAATTGACTAACCTGTATTAAGTCGACAAGCAATGAACCGGCATATATTAATTGTGGACTATTAATAAATCTATTTCCTTCATAATCAATATTATCCGTCAACACTTTCATAAGTGCATCTAAAATTTTTTTACTCTTAAAATAATTTAAACATCCTTCATTTATAATATTGGAATCAAATAAACCAGCAAAAATCTCAAGTGCTCTAAAATGAAATAATAAATTAGCAATGGAATGGAAATAACTTTAAGTAATGAAAAAATATCCATTAATTATACCTATCCTCCCAAATAATGGACTGTTCATCATCATTATGCATGGTTTTTCCCCCACTTATGGTCATTGTAACCAATAAGAACAATAAATCTTGTTCAATCAATTGATTCAAAATTATCGGTTTTGTTATAAAATAATAAAGAATATCCGTCATGATATCAGATACTAAACTTAAAGAAGCAAACACTGGTGTATCCGTCGATGGTGATTCGCTTTCCTCTTTAGATTTAGGCAATAATTCTTGCGAGTCATTTTCTATGAAACATTGTAAAGTATGGATCAAGACTGAAGGAAGTTCGTTTACGGACATAATCTCATATACCAATTCCTAAAATTAAGTAACGACAGACAGAATTGAGTTCTCAATATTTTTCATTAATTTCTATATTATAAATAAATAATATATGTATAGTGGAAATATAGCCTTTAATATAATCGCACAAATCTAATAAACGTATAAAATTCAATACTTGTAAATTAATACATACAGGTCCAAAACACAATATATCAACCGCTTTTAATAATAGAAATAATTGATTTTCATCAGACAAAATCTGTAAAAGGTCTATTTACAAAAAAGTAATCTCATTAACATCTAAATATTTGTTACGCGACTAAATCAGACAAATAAATGTCATATTACTTTGACTAGCCTTAAAATCTTTCTCCGCCGGAAGTGCATTACGAATGTGAAAAACCAAATATTTTGATATAGCATTGGTAAAGGAACAAAGGTCTTCAAAACTATTTAAAATAAACGCGTTAATTATTGTGATTTGATTCATCGTATTACATAATCACTTTTATAATCACCTCTCTTGAAGTAAGTCAGGAGCTTCGACAAATATATCACAAAATTTGCGTGAGGTTAATATCAATAATACGTTTTGTTCCTAATCAACAAAAAAAAAAAAAAAAATTAGGACTTAAACTTGACTTCTATCGTATTTGTTACGATATATTTTTTAACGATAATAATTATAATACCTTTTCGTCACTAGAGTTTTCCCATTGCTGAAAGAGTAAACGTAGATCATTTTGCTGTTCGGGGGGGATTCTAACGCACCATCAAACCGAATTATAAGAAAACTTACGCGTTTTTGAAAAGGCTAACCAAATGCAAAATCAAGAACTTGGGTCGAATAGTAAAATGACGCGCAATCTATAATACAATGTATTTTATAAAAGAAAATTATCATCCACAACAGAATCGTGCGCTGTCTCATTTTACCATTCGACCTGTAATATCGCGAGATCTAACTTTTAAAATTCTCAACTCACGTTTTTCGTGTATTAAGTTTAGATTTTTCTATCGCCTCATGTTCTAAGTTATGTCCGAAAATTACACTTTTACGATGTTTAGCTGAGCTTACGCTAGATGCTCTTCTTCTTACAGACGGTTTTTCGGGCAACTTAAATACCGGAGGTGGAGATGTAACTGTTGATGTACCAAAAATTGCTGAAAGCGGTTGTGGATTGGCAATCTTTAACTGGCCGACGAGTTTTGACCACATAGTGTTTTACGTGGTATAGTCGTTCCACCGTTATATCTAAGTAAAAGACAAATTATAAACGGTTACGACTAAAACGATTAAAGAATAAGTTATAACCGTGGCGTAGATAAATTAGAAATCGTTGTACGCCTCGCCGATTTAACTAAAATTCTTTGAAAAATGAAAACAGGGATCTAATTTTGTAGATCATTAAAATTATTTATTAAAAATTAAAGTTTGTAGCTAAATTTGGCTGCAAGATAATCTTAGGGAAAATAACAATTGAAAAAAAAAAAAAAAAAAAAAAAATTGAAAATGAAGAAAATAAAGGTGAAATGAAAAAATCAAATAATAAATTTATAAGAAAAATAAATATCGTGTAATAAAATATATATAATTAATTTTTTCTATCATAGAAATATTTTGACATAATATTAACTTGTTTTAATCCTTTATCTTTCTTTTTTTTAAACCTTAAAATAACTAAAATAACTAAAAAGAAACATATTAAATAAAAAAAAATATTCAATTATAAAGTTTTAATTATACATTTTTTTATCACAAGATTGCTTAAATAAATTAATATCATGGATAATTAACAATATTAATAACTAAGATTTTATATCAACAATTATCATAATTATACTATTATTTGTAAATTTTTATGAAAATAAATAAAATGGAAAAAAGTAATAAAATATTAAAATTAATACTATATATAAAGAGGGTTTTGTTGACCCGTGACTTGTTATTGCAGATTATGCGTATATAAAGTTAAATACTGAAGTGATAATATGAGCATTTTATCACAAAATGTTGTGATATTATTGCGCTTCCTTGTTAATTAAATTAGCAGAAATTAAATTTTCAAATAGAAACGATTAATTCTTTCGCTTTTCGAATTAAAATCAAAACAGTATTTTAGGGTTGATATTTTGAATGGGCATTGATCTCTTGGAACAAGAAATAGCTAATGAGACTTCTGAACCTGTACGCGATTTAAATCGTGAGGTGAACGGGAATGGGATTCTTGAAATGACTGAAATTGATCAAGCACAATATCCTGAAGAACCTTTTACCAATGAATTAACAGAGAATAATGTACCCGTATTAAGACATCGAGGTGGATCAACTTTACAAATGTCTACTAAATCGTCAAAATCAACGAATTTTGTAACTGGTTTACCTTCAACGACTTCGTCCTCTGCAGGTGAAGGGAGTAGTCGTGCCGTCAGAAGTTCACAGAGTAAAACTAATGACATCCACACAAACAATAGTAACTCTGAATACGAATGTAACATATGGTATGTTAGTTCAACCAATTACTTTTCCTTAATTAGAAATAATTTTACTCAAAATTTCTTTTCAATAGTTTTGATACAGCATCTTCACCTGTTCTAACTTTGTGTGGACATTTATTTTGGTTAGTATGAGCTCCTAACAATTTATGTTACTAAATCATATATTCGAAGGTATTGATGAATCGTTTTTTTTTTTTTTCAGTTGGCCATGCCTACATCAAGTTAGTTCTAAAATTTTTAAATAAATTTTTTTTAAAAAAGTTTAAATATTAAACTGATTAAACTTAAATATGTTAGTGGTTAGAAGCACAGTACCAAAATCCATTATGTCCTGTATGCAAGGCAGGATGTGGACAAGATAAAGTGATACCAATATACGGAAGAGGGAAAGAGGCCAAAGATCCAAGGTATGATTAAATTAGATTTTTCATCTTTAAAACATAAAAAACTGATTGACTTAATATTATGATTTTCAGGCAAAATTCGGATATCCCAAATCGTCCGGCAGGTCAAAGACCTCAACCACAAAGAGATCCGAATCAACCAGGTGCACAATTTTTTCCTGTTTCGTCGTTTCATTCCAATGCATTTGGTCCACATTTTTCAATTTCTGCCAGTGCAATATTTCCATCGTTATTTGGAGCACAGTTTGTAAGTAATTACATTACTACTTTTATGCACATTAAACAATGCATGATAAGAATTAACCTTTCCCTTTCCTCCTAGACCTTTCCTCCTCCCAATGGACCCCCTTCACCACAACAAGCCTTTGTGTCAAGGCTTCTTTTGATGTTGGCTATCTTATTCTCATTATGTTTTTACTTTATTAGATGAATTTTGGAGATTAGCTTTGTTAAAATATTAATTTCCAATTTATTACAAATAAACACAAATTCCAACTTTCCCACAATACAAATAAAGCAAAGCATATAACCATATAATCACCATGCCTTCAAAAGTTTCTTTACCCTCTCCAGAAAATGATCGCCTGTAACTTGCTTAGATGTTATTTCACATAATGTTTCATTAACCTTTAACGAATCCACATCCATCTCGTAGTTTGTTTCTTCAATAAGTTGTTCGTCATCATTATCACAATTACCTGATACATTTAACCATGGCATACGTTTTGCCAATGACTTGATAAGTTTTTCCAATTTAGTCTCTTTATTATCTTTACGCCAATATTCTTTAAAATCCACACGATCATTAGATGAACGATATTGTTCAACAAGGTCGAGCTAAGAATAATTCGATAGATTAATAAAATAATGAAAAATAATATATATATATATATCTGTATATTTTTTACTTACAATTTCGTCAGCGACTTCATTCGAAATTGCGGAATTATTGACTAATTCAAAAGCCAACTGCTTTGCTTGTCCCATTTCATCCACTGATTTGACTGAATTGCTAACATAAAACCAATTGATAACTGACAGAGAACCGGGTAATTTTGGGTCATAAGGACCTTAAACATAAAGAAGATTAAATAGTTATATCATTTGGATTTATTTATCATAAAAAAAAAAAAAAAAAAAATTTCTTACCAACGATGGCTCCAACAAAAGGTTCTTCATTAAATTTTTCATCTCGGAACAATTTTTGATAATTATTTTGATTTTCCAAATCTACTATTGAAGGATCAGGTTGAAAAATCGGGTGAGAATGATACCATCCAACAACCTGCATATCTCGATCGGTAATGGTTTGTTGAACTTCTAGTGCGGAAGTCGGATCCATTTCAACATTGACATAATTTTCCCCGGTTTGAAGCGAACGACAAGGAAACGTGGCTTTGACTATCAACTCTTTCGAATATTTATAAATTGATATTAAAAATTTCAGTCTATTAAGATTAAAGTAAGCTTCTCGGCTTACCCTTTTTCTCGGGTATCCAATATCCGGCTAGAAATCCTATGACTTCGGTGTTCATAAGATGTGCATGAAAATCCATTGCAACGAGCACATTTGATTCAACAATCATTGAAAACGGTTGACTTCCGGCAATATTTGAATTAGGTGCGCCAAAAAATGGGTCGCACTTTATCATCGTCAGTGGGTCTCTAAAATATTGATCGTTAATCCTAACTTTCATTTTATAAACAATGGAAAATTATAATTAAACAGTAAATTCTTACGCATTTTCTTCATGTGCGCTCGAAAGTTGTTTTCTATCTCCACGTAATCTCGCTTTCGCATATTCCGTACGGCCATCAGCACCATACAGTTGGCTAAAATTGTCTTTCGTAGTATCTTGTGCGATCTTTGGTGAGGTGCGACTAAATTTTCAAAAAGTAAAAAAAAATAAGAATAAAAAAAAGGTTAAAGTTAAATTATTTCTAAAATAGACTTATATTACTTTCCGTACTTACGGACGACCGCGATTACGTTTTTCTTCAGTCGTTACAATCTGATGATTTTCATCTGCTTGCGTTGATTTATATTCTTCCACTTGATCACTCCCATTAATTTTTGATTGCTCTTCTTGACCAATGAAACAACTTGTTTCCTTTTCCTCATCATTAAAAGGTTGAGAACCCAATTGGCTAATATTATCCAATATATCACTTTGCAAGGTATCATCTAATTTATAATTAGATGTCTTGAATGGTGATGTATCAGATATATTTTCAATTTTATTTACAGTTTCTCGATTTTCTTGAGGCGGGTTCCTCATAAGATAAGGTCTTGCTGCAGCCGAGTTAGGGTCTAACTCTTTACCTGACAAGGTATAACCCTTGCCAGAATCTTGTACCTAAATAAATAGTAGGAATTTATAAATCCGGAACATACGGTAATTTATAAAAATAGTCTTTATATTTTCCATGTACTCTAAGCATTTCCGAGTTATTTCTTCACCTTTAGTGGCAGGGGAATTCCATCTCTGAATAATTTGATAAAGTGTTTCTGAGCATGACTTCGTATCGAATTAGTGTCCCTTGTTCCTATGTGCTCGGCCAGCTTTTTTTTTTTTTTTTTAAAAAAAAAGAAAGAGTTTTTAAAAACTTATGGAAGGCAAAGAAAAAGAAAAATAATAAAATTTGATATATTACTTTCTTCCAATCGCGTCCATAAAGTTCTAATCCAGACAAGAATAAAGTTTCTTCATTATCAGAGTATGCACCTATATTCATTCCAGGTAATATTGTCTTTGGAGTTTTTTTCTGTTTTTTGACTGGTATCAAATGTTTTATTTCACCGTTTATTTCAGTTTCTTGGAAATCATTATTCCCTTCCCCATCTTTCTCCTTGCTTGGTATAATTTCTGACGTGTAAGGATGTACAGAATCATTGATAGCCACGGAACCGTTGTTTGGATGATCAAGCAGATCATCATTATTTTGTTGTTGAGGAGTTTTTTTGTAAGTATCACCTTTACGTTTACGGCCTTTTGTTCCTTTAAGATTTACGTGAGAAGTTGATTTTAGTATTCAATATAGATTTCCAAAATTATTGACGCGTCACGTTAAAGTACATATTATAATTTTTTATATAAAAAAAAAAATCTACCACACTTAATTTATAACAAGAAGACATAAATATGTATCACACAAACCTGCTTTCTTAGATTTAGGTCTAGAAGATGGGTTATAATCATCATCATCGTCTTTATCATCATTTTCATAAAAGGGATCATATGTCGTACTATGATATTGTGAGTAATAAGGATGTTCATCATATCCTTCTTGAGCCAATAATTGTGCAATATACGCAGAAGACATTTCCTCCTCTTGTTGCTGTGTTAAAACACTAGACGGTGGCTCAGGTGACGAACTTTTCCGTTGTTTTTTTGAAGCAGGTTCTGTTTCGTCGGAAGGACGCGGTTTAGTTTTTGGAGGCATATTCTTTTATCACGCGTTATAAATACGGAAGCTAATTAAATATAAGTATAATCAAATTAAATGTCAATTATTTTGATGATTTATTTTTAATAAAATTCGACTTTTAATGTTGAAAAAACCTTTGCATATAAAAAAGCAAGAAGGTCGCGTTTTTTAAATTGATAAAAGTGTTATATCACATGATAGATTAAATTTCGATATTCTTTACATTCTACACACAGAAAACGTGTGACCAAACTAAAAACAATTTAATGGCTATCAAATTCTTCTAGAAATTACTTACCAACTAGTTTTAAAAGTTTCTTAGAAAATGAAAGCGTAAATAAAAGACTTAAAAAGCTGTCATCAGTAATAAAAATTTCTGAAATGTTGTATTATTAATAATTTTACCATGCATTTATTTAAATCTAAAACTGGCCAGAATTTCGAAAACAGCTTTGGGCAATGAGATCATCATTTTCTCGTGACACACGCGACGTTCACTTCACTTAACACGTAAAAAAAAAAATTTCATTATAAATATGCCTGATCCAAGCGGTCCTTAAATGGACAGACGTTTTAAATTTATTTATTCATAAGTAAAAAATAGAAAAAATAGATAAAACTTTAATATAAGAGTTCCGTTTACTTAAATATTTAAAATATAAAATGGTTTTAAGGTTTCACACTATCCTTGATCCAATCAAGGTATCTGGCACTACCTTTATCGATCTGTACATCGAATGGAATGGGAAGTTATTTTAAGTAATTTTCAAAATCAAAAATTTATTAAACCGAAAATTGCGCTTACCTTGATTGAAATGACCTCCGGGACCTCATAGCCATGTTTGTTGTTGACATAATCTGTAAGTTCACGAACATGTTTTTCTTCTGTTTTGATTACTAGCATTTGTTCCGTGGTCTCTTCAATTTTTCCATCCCACCCTGTTAATGTAAAAATTTTAGACCTTTGAAGAGTTAATGCATTCTAAAAAGGAATTCCTGTCAACTTACAATAAAGAGATGTTATCCCATGGATAACATTGACACAAGCCGCGAGTTTTCCTTCGACCAACCCTTTTCATTATAAATATCACACGACGATTAATTTTTATTAAAAAAAAAAAAAAAAATTAGAGTGAAAGCAAACCTCTCGATAATCTTTTTGCCACAGCCTCGTCCGGGCATGTGACAAAGACGACACGAGCTGTAACTGAGTCTTGCTGAGACATATTTAAGGCAGAAGTAGTAGTGAATAACCGAGGTAGTTGAGTCAAAATTAAGGAACAGGACAATAAAGTTCTTGCACAATATCGGTTTACAAGCATTTTTTGAGTGCAAACGTTTGTCGTCATATGATAATATTTGAATTGTGTCACAACCTTTATTGGATAGGGATGCACCGGAATTATTAAAGTTTTGTTTCAGGACCCGATATTCCTTTTGTTAAAAAAATGAGTGAAACACGGAAAACAAGAAAACGTAGAAGTAAACTCCCATCCTAAACGAACCTTTCTTTAGCAATTCTTAGAGTCTAATAACTTGTCATTAAGCTTAAGTTAAATATATTTACTACGCAAGCTAGTCACCAATTATTCTCGTTTGTGAAACGACGACATAATGTCGACAAATCAGTTTCCAAAACAGTGTCCTAATTGTCTGAAAAGGTACGGAGATGCAACGAGACCTTGGTGCAAGAAGTGCGACTTTTCAAAGGTGTTTGGCGAATGGACGAGTGGTGATGAAGCAATCGACGAACTTATTAAAATGACACAAAATCGACAGGGAAACTATGACGACAATTTCTTGGAATGGATCCCTTTTGATCGCATCCGTGATAAACAAAAAGTTGGACAAGGAGGATATGGGACCGTCTATTCTGCGGAATGGATTGATGGGAAAAGGTACTGGGATCAATCAACAAGGGCGCGACAACCCTGCAAGGTGGCATTAAAATGTCTAAACAGCGGAACGGAATCTCATCAAATATTTATTGAAGAAGTAAGTGAGAATAGAAATAGATTTCACAATTCTACTTTTAATAAAGTGTAACCATCCCTTTTTTAATTATAAGGTACGTTCTCATTATGAGGTGCATAATACTTCTTTCATGAGTAATTCGTTCCCAATGTATGGCCTTTCCCAAGATCCCGATACAAAAGAATATTTGATCGTTATGCCATTCGTTGAGAATGGTAACTTGCGTTCCTTTCTCAATAAAAACTTTCACGTAGCAGATTGGGAATTTAAACTCCAATTGCTTTATAGTATCGCGTTTCGACTCTCCCATATTCATAGTCGGAATATGGTTCACAGAGATTTGCATGGTGGAAATATACTTGTGATGATCGACAAAGATGGCAATGGAAGGGGGGAAATAACGGACTTCGGACTCTGTCGCTCTACTGCGGATAATGTGGAAGAGGGTGATGTCTTTGGTGTACTACCTTACATTGCCCCAGAGGTTTTAAAAGGTGGGACTCATACCCTTGCGTCCGATATTTACGCTTTCGGTGTTATAATGTGCGAAATGACGACGGGACAGTCAGCATTCTGTGATCGCGCTCACGATGTGTCATTGTTAATTGATATCCTCAATGGAACTCAACCTAAAATTCTTGACGACACTCCTAAAGAATATTATCAACTGGCGAAACGTTGCCTTGACGCTGATCCTGACAATCGTCCGGGTGCGTGGGAACTCCGTAATTTTTTTTCTAATCGTTACGTTTCCAAAAGCGTTCCACCGGAATATCGAGTAGCGGATGAACGTAAAAAGGATCTCCTTCCTCAAGGTTCACATCAGATTTACCACACCGATGCAATTTACACGAGCCGTAATTTGAGTTTTACTAAATCTGTAAACCAACTAAAAATTGCGAATAGGAATCAAGGTAGGCAAATGATTTGTTATTTTCATCATATTTCTTTTACCTCGGTCATATGCTTACACCTTTTATTTTGTTCAGATTCCAGTCAAATTAATCTGCAAGTCCCGGACGACTTTTGACCTCAATGTATTGAAAATAATGTTTTATTAAAAAACTAGTTTTATTTTATATTATATTATTTTAATGTTTGTCTGTATACATCCTTCCCAATATTATATAATGTATATATTTGAAGAGAATTATTTAATTATTTGCTGAAAAAAAAAAATGTATATTAATAAAAAAAATAATGTTTGTTCCTTTTATTTTTTATTATCTTAAAGTTTGTATCATTTATCTTTGACAAAAAAAATCAAAAACTTTTTGTTGTATTTAAATCTGTGATATAAATAAATTTGGTTTTTTAAATCTTTTAATTATTTCATATAAAAAAAATTTTTATTAAATAAAATTACAATTAAAAATTTAAAAAAAAAATAACTAAATATAAATATAAAATAATTAAAGTAATAAAACAAAAATAAGCATATAAATATTTATATTTTTTTTATAACTCTTCTTAATTATACTTATAAATTCCTAATATAATATTATTTTATAATAAAGTAAAATTTAAAATTTTAATTTAATATTACTAATTATTAAATATACATAAAGCTAATTATATTTTTATTATAAATTATTTTATAAAACTACCATTTTTATTTAAAATTTTTTATGATAATTTAATAAAAATTTCTTAAGATAAACTTGCTTTTTAAAAATTTATATTCACTTCTATTATATATTCTACCTTAAACTATAATTTAATGTATCTTTATAATAAATAATTATAAGTAAAAATAATAGGTTTTCTTAAGAAAGTGAATAATATATTACTCCCACAGTCCAATAATCGACTTCAGAATTTTAGCAATCATATAAGGTGACTTCATAATGTTTGAGTTATAGGTTCTATAAAGAGAAACAATCATTAATACTTAATTGTAGAACGGTAACAATAAAGATCAAGGAATTTATTCCCTTATACTCATTCTTGACTAAACCTATAACAATTAGTATTGAATAAATTGAGCCCTGAATATTTCGGCTGAAAGGCTCAGTACTAACCCCAATACATGTGAAATAAAAAATAATATCAATACCAATTAAGTATAAAATTGACCCGAGAGTTTTTGATTTACATCAAGCTCTTGTCTTGTAAAAAATATAGTTGTAAAATTTTGATTTATAAAAAATTTATATAGAATAAGTAAAATTCCAGATTTTTTTTAGTATTGTGTATTACACTGGTGAATGTAAAGATCATAAATCTACCTAACTACCCAACTTCTTCTTTTTATTTCTGGCATTTCCCAAATCTTTATATCAGAATGTTTAGACTTCATCCAATTTTTTACCTTTTTTAAATTCGATTTGTTATCGAAATACAAGTATATATTCTGCCTTTCTTTTCTGTATCACCACCCAAATAATTGTAATGAAAAAAAACAATCTATTACTTCTTCACCCTTCCAATTTCCAACCATTTCACCATCAGTTATTTCAAGGATATGATTTTTCCCAACGGGGTCTTGTCCATATGCATATGTAAAGTATTTATAGTAATTATCCAAAGAATAGAATGAGGAGAAACATTCTGTGAAATCACCGGATACTCCTATATTTGTGGGAGTTCACTTAGATAACTTATTTGACTATAAACACAAATAAAGCAGTGTTTCATACCTGATCGCCAAAACCATGTTTCAACCTTCCAATTATGATGTAGAGCCCATTTTACTACAGGAAAATAATCACCATCCCCAGAAACTAAAACAAATATACTAGGATCCCTAGTCCAGATAACATCCATTGCAGAAGCACCTAGTTCCATATCAACTTTCTTTTCTTTATTTTCTATATTTCGATCAAATACGACTATATCATAACCTTGACTTACAATCCAATTCTATAGCGAATCATTCAGTGGTGGACGAGAGCCGACAATAATCAGATTGCTACCCATTTGTCGTCCGTTCAATACCGCTGATAGAAGACGATCATGGTCGATATGGAGCTGGTTAAGGTAGTGGGAATTTCTTTGTTGATCAAAGGTGCCTGCAGATTCTAATCAACCTACAGTAAACTTTCCTTCGATAAATAAGTTTGAGTTGTTCACAAAAACAGACACAAGACTGATAGGTGATTTTGAAGTGCCTGCTACAATAAAAACTTTTGGTATAAGTTATATTGAAGACAGATCTAGCCTCATAGTGAGAAAAGCAGTGTAGGTTTAGTATATTCGAATGCAGTCGTGGTACTTACCTTCTATGATAATGCGAACGTATTTTTGGGCGAGTTTGACGATAAGAAGCAGAAAAGAAAAGCACAAGATTAAGTAAGTATTCAGTATTATTAGCGAATATGACAGCATACGCAAGGTTGAAACATATCAGGCATAGATATTAAAGACTTCAAGTAACCCCGCTTCTCATCATCTGTTGTATAGTCAGGAAGAAAAGTCACGACAACATTTATTTATTCTACGTTTTGAGTGAAGTATTTACGCAAACTGTCTTGCTCATTTGGAGTGAAACTAAGACGATTAATTCCCGTTCTAAGAGTAGTTAGTGCTTTCATTTTAGTATTACAAATTGCTTAATCCAAGAAAAAAATTTTTTTGGGTTATGGGTATATATGAAAAATCGAATGTCGTATAGATTGATCTGACTCATTACCAGGAACAATGATTTATTGTGATCAAAACTTTTCCCCTCTCTCTCCAAAACCAAAAAAATGGGAAAAGAAAAAATCAAAAATTTTCACAAAATAATAACTGCAACTTGCGAACTCGCTCAGACTCTCCAACAAAAAACAAAGAAGAACCTCTCCAGAAGAAAACCATGACTGGCAGGTCTGCTTAAACACTAGAAACTTCAGCTGGACCGTCAAACGTCGTAACTACCACTAATATTTTTTCAGCTGATAATATGAGCATAAATCAACAAGTGAAAGCAGTCCTCGTAGAAGGAAAAAATTTTGAATATGATACAACTACCTGGTTTTTCAAAGAAAACAATACACAAGAAACAACTACTACTAGTCCTCCTTCTATCCTCCAACTAAAGGATAGTGAAACGATGACCCTGGTGTTGAAAATAAAATGGATGAAGACCAAGCTTTTAACGTTTCAGAAAATTTACTAAACAACAATGAAACTAACAGAAATACTATTATCTTTAAAAGAGTCTAAGACGTGACTATTTTCTATATTTACTGTATTGCAGAAACTTTTCTTTTGAATAAATCCTTTAGAAAAAGACCAACAAAGCCTGTGAACTTTTTAATAGCGTAGCATTCCCATCATTCATTGGTGCATCTATCAAACTAGACCCTACAAATAAAATGTTGAAAATTGTCCATTTAGACTTTACAACTCGAGATGACGCTAATCGTACTATGGCAATAAAAATTCCTAATATGAACAACGTCACGTTTCTACCCTTGTTACACCTGCCCTATTCAAATTTGACCCGAGTCTATCGATTAAGGTCACAGAAATCCCGATCTCCACATCAAAACAAATCATTTGATCTATGTTTGCCTGATTCAGTACGATCATCAAATGCACAATGATGACAAAAATTCTTTGGCAGCAAGCAACTATTTCGTATGTACCTAAGACAGACTTATCCTTTTTTAACTCTCATGCTGGCCTTTTCATTTTGAAAGACATGATCAGAATACACGTATATTCTCTTACAATCAATGAAATCAAGGCTTGTTTCCAATTTGCTTTGAAACTCATGAACCTCCTTAAGGACACTACTAGTAAAGAATTAGAGCCAATCAGTAAAGCAATTAATACTATCACATGGATGATCCCAAAGCACAATCAAATTATAGAAATCTACAATACACCTTTATGTACTTTGGTAATAAAGAAGATCTCGATGCAGCAAAAAATGGAGACCCTATTGAGTTTGATAATAGGAAACTCATCTGAACTGCACCTGATATCAACCTATGTGCACATTGTTCCATTCTTGGACACGACTCGCGAAATTGTAAATGAAAAAGACCAACTCCCAAAGACAGACAAACCCAAAACCTTTACCAATGCTATAAACCTGCGCAATTTAAAAATTATTCAGCATCTGCGTCCCGTCTCAAGGTCACGTTTGTATACGACTAGAAGACCATGTTTGATCCAAAAAATCTCCACTCGTTTGCAAATAGAATTAAGAATGTTAAACCTCCATCTAAAACTCCTATTACACGTACCAAAGATCCTAAGATACCAAAGAATAAATCCTCTCTTAATGAATCAATCCACACGTGTAAATCATATTCAGAATAAATGGATGAGGTAGATATACCGTACTGATCACCTAAAACACCTACGCATGAATTAATGGATACACAAAAAATCCTAAATCAACTGGATGCTATCACGGCAATCCTTACAACAATTCACAATGACCTCGCTTTTTCGATGCACCGTCTCGATGAAGTGAAAAAGTACCTAAACATAGTCACACTCATACCTAAAAAAGTGGCCAAACTCAATGAAGTAGCTAAGGCAGAAGGTGCTATGGACACAGACACTGTCTACAAATTAGAAGTCGATACATCAGACTCTCGAGTTGTCAAACAAGAAAAGCATATTTCAATTCTTCATGCAGAAACTGAAGAACTACGAAAACACAACAAAAGCATGGTAGAAAACTCAATATCACCCTCAAAGCCATTGCCAACATCTAACATATGATCTTAGATAATACACATCCTGTACACATAATTCTGATCCCTAAACTCAACATGCCCAGTGCAGTCGATACTTCAGAAGATAGCACAGAGGTCTTCACCTCAGAACTCTTCTTTAAATAATTATGATATCACAACCATCAAATACAGAAATGGTGCCTCTCACACTTAATATCACCACTCATAACAATCGTTCTTTTACCTTATCATATAAACAACAAATCCTTTTCAATCTTTACTCTCTTTATAACTTAGATGTCATCATCTTACAAGAAACAAATTTTAAAAATCTATCTTACATACATTCCTTAAAGCCCATTTGTTCAAATAAATTTGTTCCATTTTTTAACATTGATCTCTTCATCCAAAGCATGGGGTTCAGAGTTAGCTTTCTCATTAAAAAATACCTAGCTGACCATGTTTTCCACCACTCTTTCTTCTTCTATCATATTTATTCAATAGATTTCTAATTTAAAAACAAACACAAACTTTGTATTATCAACATTTATATTTCCAGTTCAGATAAAACATTACGAGACAAAACTTATAAAAAGCTCTAGATCTAATAAAAGATGCACACTGTTAACGTGCAATCCTTGCGAATTACGACAGTTAGACAGGGTGTTCGAGTGGTGATTCTTTTAAAGTTTACGTAGTAATCTAATAATTGTCTCAGTAAGATAATGGTTCTTTTATATACTATAGAGTATATTCACACCGCGGTTGGTTAGGTTCTTTTATATA